CCAGTATTTGGCATACCTACAGTTTTTTTTTAAATAATAGTCGATTGATTGTTCTGGAAAAACCATTTTTCCTACTAGTAGACACACTTCATGATATTAAAATGAAGAGATCAACATTAGCAAATTGTAAGAATAAAAATTAAATAAGATGACGGGTACGCAAATAAGATTCGCACAGCAGCCACGGTGCCCACGCATTTAGGCTTCTACCTGAGCGACTGCTTCGTTGTAAAGAATAACTAAAATTCAAGCTTCTGGTTCCAAAACATATGTTCTTTAGTTTGAAAGATTAGAGTCAAAACAAAATAAAAAGATGATTTTGCAACACAGCATCAAACAACCTGAAAAACAAAACAATTTTTTGATTATAGACAATAAAAAAATAAAATGCATAATGCTACAAAATGAGGGAATAGGGAATTGAAGGTTACAGTGCCATCTATGAACCAGTAGCAAAACCAAAAACTCAAATCATTTTCAAAGTTTCTGCGTCTGTTACTATCTTAAAGATGACGCCAGGATGTTTCAGATGTCGAGTTCGGCGCTGGAATACAAAGTGTGCTTGGCTACACACTTGAGTCCAATACTGAAATCCGGTACTTAAATACGAATCCTGAATACTGTATTTTAGATTGTATTCAAATACTCAAAATTCGAATATAAAGAAACGAGTATTCAAATACCGCTATTCTGAATACATGGATTCTTATAAATATGAACACTGTTTGAATACTCGTAATCTACATAAAAAAAAACATACTTCATTTTTATTTATGTACTTAAGTTATAAGGATATATAAAAAAACTTTTCGATACACAGTGTCACAGTGAGACTTGTCAAATTAATTATATAATACAAAAATATTCTCTTATATTCATTATATACTAAGTGACATATAAATCCGAACACCCAGTTTAAATGGTATTATTTTAATAAAAGATGGTGAATGTATTTATCTTACTGTAAATAACAAGTGAAAAAATTTTCAGCCTTATCAGTTGGACATTCCGGTTTTTATACTGTTTTTTTTTTAATTCACTAACGTTCTAAAAATGAATATTTCAGCCGCAGTAAAGAATCAACGTTGGCGGATTTTGGTTCTTGACATCCTTTACGATCGGTTACGATGCCTAGAGTACGGAGACCTGTACGATCTCGTCAACTTAGTGAGTTTGATAGGGGCCGTATAGTGGGACTTCGGGAAGCTGAACTTTCTTTTCGGGCAATTGCAGTTAGAGTGCAAAGAAGTGTAGACACTGTGGTTAGGTGTTGTCAGGCATGGCTTCGAGAAGGCCGTACGCAAAGAGCAAGGGGCACTGGACGCCGCCGTAGAACAACAGACCGTGAAGATCGCCGCCTAAGATTATTGGCCTTAAGGGACAGTTTCTCCACTACCAGGTCCATTGCAAATGAATGGTTTGCAGAACACGGAAGACCTATTGGCATGCGAAGTGTTTACCGACGAATGAGAAGTTTTGGCTTGTTTTCATACCGGCCACACTGGGTCCTCCCTTTAACTCGAGAACACCGACGTAATCGCCTTGAGTGGTGCAGACAACGGTCACTCTGGGATCAGGAATGGAACAGTATTGTCTTTAGTGACGAGTCTCGATTTTGTTTAGGCATGCACGATGGTCGTGCCAGGGTTAGAAGGCGACGTGGTGAAAGGATGAATCCACAGTTTTTTGTTGAAAGACATGTTCATCACGCTGTTGGAGTTATGCTTTGGGGTGCTATAGCTTATGGTTCCAGGTCACCTTTAATCTTCATCAGAGGTAACATGAACGCGCAGCGTTATAACCACCAAGTTCTAGAACCCCATCTTTTACCCTATCTTGACACCCTGGCAGATCCAACTTTCCAACAAGATAATGCCCGACCACATGTTGCAAGAGTCACAATAGACTTCTTTCAACATAATGATGTCACATTGTTACCATGGCCACCAAGATCTCCCGACTTATCCCCAATTGAGCACGTGTGAGATATGATGGGTAGGAGATTGCTCAATTTGCAACGTCCTCCTCAGACTCTAGAAGCACTTCGAGAGGAGTTGGTGGTTGCCTGGAATGAGATACCACAGGAGGACATTGACCACCTGATCAGAAGCATGCCTAGGCGCGTTGGAGAATGCGTAGCACATCAGGGTGCATCCACACATTATTAAAGGTCAAAGGGCTTTAAAGCAGTGCAATCATTTTGAAATTTTTATCATTTACTTATTATGCTTCATTAAGTACTTGTACACAATTTTATTAAAATAAAACCATTTAAACTGGGTGTTCGGGTTTATATGTCAGTTAATATATTTTTATCGGAAATTGACAGAATAAAGCTTAATAAGAGAATATATGGATCTTATCTACATATTAAAAAAATAATCTTACCTTTTGATATAGCTACGTTATCTGTTATCACACACAAATTATAACAGGTATTAAAGTTTATTATAAAATAAACTACTCAAAAAATCTAAGGGAGCAAGGAAAAGATTCAAACTTTTCAGTGATCTTTTATAGGCTGTATTTCGGTACAAAAATGGTCGTATCGACTCTAAAAAACCATTATGAAGCATCAACATTTTAGTTTTCAGGATTCCTAGCCAAAAAAAATTAAGAACAATGGCTTTTTATTCCACGGGCTCTGTTCAGCCATACGAATCAGCTTCAATATCCTGTCCTTAAAATTCCGATACGATTATTTGACGCGAAGTTATCTGTCTGTAAATGAAAAAGGATCCTTCTGTCATCGATCGCTAATATCGCGGTGAGCAGTGTTCGCACAGAAAATGTAAAGGTAATTTCCGAAAACTGGAATAAACCTCTTATAAGATTGATTTGATTGGAATCTTTGAAGATTTGTTTTTGTTTCCTTGGTTTAAGGCTAGATACGACATTCAAAATACAAAACTTGTTTTTTGCGCACTTAATTTTTTGGAGTAGTTTAGAATGGAAATACTGCCCAAGCACAAGTGCATACGTGATCTAATCTCGTTCCTTAATAGGGCATTCATAATTGAAAAAAGAATAGTGAGATTAATTTTAACATACGTGAATCTTGTAGGTCTAATCATATGCTAACACTTCCTACAATCTACATCTTTAACTGCGCTCTATATGCATTACACTAATGTAGGTTTGTTAAAAATATAGATATACAGGATTTGTCCGGAAAGTAATAGGACTGAGTCGATTTAAAAAAATTTATTGAGCAAATCGTTACAATTCTTTAATAACTTTCAAAATAGGCTCCTTCTGCATCGATGCAGCGCTGCCAGCGCGATCTCCAAGCATTGAAGGCGTCTCGGAAGGCATTCTCCGGAATAACCTTGAGAGCCGCGGTGCATGCTGCTTGGATCCCCTCTGCCGTCTCAAAAAAGCTTGCCTTTCATCGGCCTTTTCAGGCGAGGAAACAAAAAAAAGTGCGGGGGCACATCTGGGCTGTAGGACGACTGCGGAACCCTGTAATGTCCGTTACAACACAAGAGCTGGCACGGATTTGAGCATATCATCACATCCTTTAACAACGTTTGAAAAATTACCTGAGTATGACTGTATAAAAATCGATAAGCTTTCCTTAAAGCTTAAAATACTTCAGGATGACATAGTACTTAAAAAACGCTTGAAGCAGTATCTTGTGGAGACTCAATAACAGTATGTCAATCATTCTTCATTCATTTCAGACATTTAAGAAATTATTCACTCAGTAACACTTTGTGTAAAATGCCAATAAACTACTACTAGTGGTGCTACTAAGCGAATTCAGAACCACCACACTGTCCACACAATCAAAATAACTATGCGAAGCTATTTTGTTTTTTAAGATTCACAACAACCGTTGTTTTAATGTGTTTTAGCGCTTATGTTACACCGTAACACAATATTCATAATAATAGCCAAGCAGTATTCAAATACTGGGATTTGAATACAAAGCGGGTATTCGAATCTTGGGATTCAGAAACTGTATTCAGAATCCAGAATACCGAGTACCGACCAAAAAGTATTCAGTCGAATACTAAATACCAAACACACAAACGTATTCGAATAGTATTCGAATACCAGTCAAATGCGTTCTGAATAGGATTCACACATCCGAGTATCCGAATACTACAAAAGTCTGGTTAGCTACCGTCAGGTAGAAAACGTTCTTCAATGCTTAGAATCATGCCCAGAGTAGTTTTGAGGTGCTATTTTTCTGTACGTAACCCTGTAGGCGCGCCCTTGTTTCTTCAGGACCGTGACATCGATTCATCTGAGATTCGACATCCGATCCTGGCCGCCGGATGCGAGGCGATCTCTCGTCGCCATCGCCATTTGAAATTTAAAACGTTTCATTACGGCTAAGAGCTTTTCCGCAAACTAAATCACGACCGAGCCGTGGACGTGGATGTGCAGCCAAGGGCGAGTGAGGGCGGAAGGGATCAGTGGTAGTGTAAACGATCGAAGCGAATACAAGGTAGATGAAATACATTCCGACATACAGACAAGGGGATACGCGTTGAGATTTTCAGTTATGGTGAATGTGCCTGCTTTAGGACACCTGACACATTCACCTTTTTTAACAAGGCATCAGTATCCATGGCATTAAATTAGTAGTAGTGCAAAGTGTGTTCTGTAACAATTTTAGCGGTTGTAATTGTTCGTTGCTGAATATTGGTGGAACATGTATTTTTCACGATAAATCGGTTATCGACAGCACTTCTTATAATAAATACAATGGCTACAGAAAACGTGGTCAGAAATTAGTCCGCTGTCATCAGTTGTCACTACATGACTCTGTAATAATTTAGGCGATCTAAAAATAAAGTTTCACAATATTCGAGAGTAAAATTTTGTCTGTCAATCTACATTCGATTACTGTGTACGGGAGATCGTTGACGGTTGTGAGGGGTGTCGGTTGTAACATATGAAGCTGAGCGCGAACAACCTGTACACAACAAAAACCAGTAAAAGACCTGGCTTTACATGTACGGAAATTTAGCCATTTGATAGAGAAGTATTTATCTAGAACCTAGTAATACAAACCGCTGCTCTTCATCTTCCCTAGTAGCGTCAACCTCTGTCACGTCAACGCTTCCAACGATAAAAGCTTTGGAACAGTCAAGTTCACTCTCTTCCCCAAAATCTAAAGGACATTTTTCTCTACCTACTAAGAAAAAATGTACTCCCGAACAAATAAGACTCAACCCAAAAGTGTTTGGAACCGAAAGGAAACACTTCCATACTCCCGACAAAATGCTAGTAGAACAACATCGAGCAAACAAAAATACAAAATCTATCAAGAAGAAACTTGCAAGGCACAAACGTCCTGCGAAGGAACAAAGACCTAAACATAGTAAGTCCTCATCATCTGAAGAAGACGCGTTGTACTTAGTCTGGTTCGGTCCATACAAAAGTAGCTGTGAAGACTGGTTACAGAGTAGAAAATGTAGAGAGTGGGCACATTACAAATGTACAAAGAAGAATCCCCTTTTTGCTTGTTGGAATTGCGACTCTGCAGACTGACTATTTTGGTAGTATTATAGTTGTTATTCTTGTTATTGCAATGTTAGACACTGTAGAGAATGGGCACATTTCAAATGTGCAACGAAACCTCTTTTTGTCTATCCCAATTGTGACTCTGTGGCTCTTAACTATTTTGACTAGTTTTTAAGTAGTTTTCTACTGTAGTTTGTTTGAAATACAATAATCATTATATTATTATAGTGTCTATATGTCCATATTCTAGATATGCAAAGAATAATCCTCTTTTTGTTTGTTCAGTTTTAAAAAATTTGTTAAGATAGTAAAGGATGAGATGCCCGAGAGATTCACAATAGGTTCAAGCCTGACTGACATATTCATAGTGATCTGGTCTCACTGTGTATGTATTTTACAACTTTTGAGTGTCTATTGTAACACTCTTCACTGATGCGTGTCTGAATTTTTAGCAAAATAAAAAACTTGATTTTTTCAATATTTAAAAGAATTTTAGTCCATTCGCAAGATTATATAGCATTTACAAAAAAAAATAATAATTCAACTAGAGCGAAACATTACTGCTAAAAAATTTTTGTTACAACCGTCACCCATCTGCCCTACGGTATTACATTACAAGTAATTTACAAACGTGCCCACGTGGGGCAGTTTTAAAAGTTATGACATAAACTATCAGAAAAACGCTTTTTTGTTCCAATGCGTCTGAACTCGCTTAGCAATTCAGAGCGGGAATTTTTTTTATTGGATGTTTCAGTGATAACGCGGTCTCTTTGAGTTTTAGTGTTTGCAAGCTGATGTATCTCATTTTTGAGATACAAACAGGGACCTTAGAAGTATCACTAATACTGTAAACGATCAAAGTAGGTACAAGGTGGATAAAATGCATTTCGTAAAAATTTACAGTTTTGGTGGAAGTGTATGATTTAGGGTACCTGGTGCATTCACCTTTTTTGATAAGTATCCACGGCTGAGTTCGTAAGCTATTAGTAGTACAAAATAAACTGGCTGACAGATGCTTTGCAACATGGAAAATTTTACTCAAATTCAAATCTCGATGTTTCAGGAATGGAAAGAGATACCGTGTTGCGATATTCGGTGTTTGACCAACTCTGAGATCGGTATATTTTTTTTATTTATCCACTTATACAGACTGAACAAAGGAAGTCAGGTTTTCTTAGCCGGTTGGGACTATGTCAGCTTCCCAATTTTTGATCTTGGAAATTTTTATATGCATCATTTTGATTTTTGGACCATCCTAAAAAAAGCAGTTTCTCAAATTTTTGGAAAGTTGGCTTTAACTCGTTATCGATTTTTAAAGAAGTATTACATTTATCTCTAAAAAAGGGATTTTTTGGGGGTTCCTCCTGAGAATGGGTATAAACTCTTATACTGTTGCATATAGTGGAATTTCCTGTACCCGGGAAAAGATTGAAGCACTCATTTAACGTTGTTGCCTCCGATGGAGTGCTGTAAAAAGTTACTTTGACATTATGTAATTTAAACCGAATTTATAAATTTTACTATGTAATAAAAGGGCTTAATGAACAAATCCAAGTTACTACTCTTAATATAGGGGTGTGTTCCAGTGGCGTAACATCAAAAGCATTTTTTGGTTTGACAAGAAGTGCTAATAACTGGAAGATTTTTATTTTCCAAAATGCTGTCGCGCTGGTCAACACTGCCGTTATTCTTACAGTACGATCGGATACTATTATTCCACTTTGCCATCGTAAGTTTTTATTTAAGGTTCTGGATGAACGAGTCCTCCTTCGCCTTACTTCCTGCAATAAATGTTTTTCGACCCGACGTCGTATGTTTTGTACGAGCCCCTTCCCACTTTAGTTGGCCCACTTCAAGATTTGTACCAAAATATGCCTTTATAAACTAAACATGACGAAACTATTTACTTCTAAAACAATTTATTTTCTCAAAAACATTTTAGATACACTCTAGTCGAAAAAAATAATTATTTGAAATCACTTAGACCTATAACTAATAGAACATCTGAACAAATAAACAATGTGCGAATAAATGCGCGAAGTTAACAAAGCAACAATTGAAAGATTACCGTTGGGTAACATCACCTTTATTTTTTAGTACGACCGAATTGGCAAAAATTTGGTGTAAAGCGATCCCATATTTCTTGAAGCTTTTGTCTCAGTTCGGTGATTGTACGAGCAGGATGTTGTCGTAGAACCTTTTTCATCTTGTGCCACAAAGTTTCAATAGGTGACAGATCTGGACTGCTAGAAACCCATTTCAAAAGTGGTACATTATTTTCTTCCATCCATGTTATAGCCTTTTTGAGGTATGGCACGCTGCACCATCTTGCTGAAATACAAAATCTCGGCCGGATGTCAAACATTCTTCGATCACTGGTAAAAGCGATTCTTCTAAAATTGCCAAATATTAGTTTGTATCCCCATTTCTATCAATAGAATGAAGTTTTCCTACTCCTTTTTATGACATACCGCCCCAGACCATAATAGATGTTGGAAATTTCACTTTTCTCTTCAGACAGTCAACATGGAATACTTCATCTTGTTTTTGCGAATAACTCTACTGCGACTGTCACCAACACAAAGTTCGAATCGGGCCTCATCACTCCATTTTATTGCACACCATTGTTGAGGTGTCCATTGTCTATGTTCTTTAGCCCATTTAAGCCGATTTTTCTTTTGCAGTGGAGTTAATACTTGTTTTTCTTTGGCCTATAAACAAGTTGTGCAACTTTAGGGTTTTTGCTTCACTTTTTTTATAAGAAAACTTACCTTACAAGTGCTAAATCCCGGTTTGTGGGCCTCTCTATGAGTTGTGGACCTCGAAATTGTCCTTCCAACAGCCTCACTCCACAGAGCACTTAATTGTAAATAATTGGCACGCCTGTTTTTCACGACTATTCTTCTTAATGCTCTTTCGGCATTTGTGATATTACTTTTTTTCACGTTATATCTTCTAATAATATTTTTCATACTGTACCGCGATAAGTCTAACAAAGTTGTAATTTCTGAGTTTGATTTCCCAGAATAAAAAATTTAATTATCAGTAACCGAATTTTCTCACTAATAACCTTTGCTCTACCCATTTTAAAAACCTTAACTACCCAAAACTATTTTAAACGTATTCTGACAGCTGTGATTAATAGAAACAGTTGTCATGGCTTTTATTTTTCACAGCCACCTATGCGTTATAGACTTATTTTGCAGTGAAATGAAAATAGGTTGATATGCTGTAACTGCAACATGTGTTATTTTTATGCTGCAAATTTGATCAGGGAGTGGTAAAGTTGGTGTTTTCTACTATATATTATCAAAAGATTCATTGTTAATATTTCAAACATATAACACCCTGCTACATTTTTATTATTTGTATTTGATAAGAAAAAAACTAAGATCTCAATAGTTTGGCCACCTGACGTGGGAAGGGGCTCGTATTACCTCCTCCGTGCAAGTATGACGTTTCCCCGGTATCCTGATATATACACTTTAAACGGTATATTGAGGAACGATCAGCATAATAAATTAAAGCTGCATCATTTACGAGACGACCTTCTCCCAATAATCTTATACAATTCTCTCGTTCTTTTTGAAAAGGACGATGCACTTGTGATAAAATGATATTATGCTGTCAAGTCTACACTCAATATTATTGTTACTTAATTGCATGCTTGAGGTGTAGGATAAAACCGGAAAAGCGTCCTAGTTCCAAGGAAATGGTGGTCCAAAAGAAATACGAGATCGAGTCCGGTCCAAAAAAACGTTAACAGGTACACTATCGATAATCCTCCATGCTTTTCTGGTCAATAAAACCACATTTATCAACTGTAAACGTTTCAATCACAGTACTGAACAAAGTATAACTACCCATTGGTGGCGGTGCGACCTCTTCACATAGGATTCAATTATGCCCTGAAACTCCACAATCCCGTGGAGATCGAAGAACACAACGGACCGACCGCATCTAATTTTCGTCGCTACTCCCGTTGCAATTTATCGATTAAACAACTTTTGCTCGAGAGACATCAGAACGTGTTTGGAGAAGCTATTTAGAGCAACATGAGGACATTTGGGTTAAACGTCCCAAGAATAGTTAGCCGACTTTACTAAGTTTCTGCATCAACCGGAGTCTGCGTTGTCGTCATCCGCTCTGGTTTCTTTTGAAACAGGAAGTCTTATAGTGCCGCCCTTATCGAAAAGGTCGTATCTGCATCTTGCATAGTTTCGCACAAAGGTGATTTTTATGGAGAGGCCGCTTTTTCCTGTAAAACTGCAGTTAAGTAATATGTTGATGTAAAATGAAGTAAGTGTTTCCGAATCGCGTCTTTTTAACGTTTTTTGAAAATGTCAAGGTCACATAGTTGAGAGAATGCAGATACGATGTTACTTCTATGTATTTTTAATTATAATTACTACCTCTCACGCAATAGATGAGAAACTGCAGGTGGATGTTATTTATACCGACTTCAGTAGGGCTTTCGACAAGATTGATCATTCTATCTTGATGGAGAGACTTGCTGAGGTGGGTGTAGATGGTCCATTATGGCAGTGGCTAGCATCGTATATAAGTAATCGTAAACAAGTGGTGACTATCAACGGGTATCGTTCGGAGACATTCTTAGTAACTTCAGGCGTACCACAAGGTAGTCACTTAGGACCATTGTTATTTAACATATACATGAACAACCTTACTTCTGTTTTTCATTTCAGTAAATATTTGTTATATGCTGATGATCTAAAGATATTTACTATTGTTAGAAATGTAAATGACGGTGTAAAACTTCAAAGCGATTTGGAATCTCTGCAAAAGTATTGCACTGAAAACAGTATTCTCCTGAATTTAACAAAATGTCATTACATGAGTCTTACTAGAAACATAGCGAACACTATAGATTTCAGATATAAGATAGGGACGGCAGAACTGGAAAGGCTTCATGTAGTAAAAGACCTAGGGGTATACATTGATGAGAAACTCTCATTCATCACCCACGTAGAGCACATCGTAAATGATGCAAATAGAATACTAGGGTTCGTAAACAGGACATGCAGAGAATTTACGAACCCAAAAACGCTTCTTTCATTGTACTACGCTTATATACACAACAAACTGATGTTTGCATCAGTAATATGGAATCCGTCTTACAATGTACATATAGTCAGGATAGAAAGAATTCAACACAGATTTTTGAAGATATTAGCACATAAAACTCACCAACCTGTTACAGATCATCATTATACGCAAATTATGAAACAGTTCAATATGATTTCCTTAAAAGATAGAAGAACGATTTCTGACATTTGCTGTGTCCATAAATTGTTGAATGGCCTCACTGACTGTCCGGAGCTTTTGGCAAACTTGAACTTTAACACTCCTGATAGAACGTTTAGATTTAGAACCTATCATCTGTTTAGAATACCGTTCCGTAGAACCAATCTTGGTCTTAATTCCCCTTTGGTCAGGGCTGAAAAAAATCATAATAATTTCTGTAATATAGATTTATTTAACATTAGCTTGACCTGCCTGAAAAAGGCTTTAAAGTATGAGTATTACAGCTCTATGGCAGACTAAAATAGAAATGCTTTATTTTTTTACATAACTCAAGTTATCACCTCCAATATCATTTCTGGTATAATTTCAATTTAATTTTGATTTCAGTTTTAATTAAACGTAAGTAAATGTTAAATTATGTATACTCCTTTTATTAAAAAAGTTAAATTAATAGTTAATTGCTTATAATTAGAACTACTCACTCAGTTTATGTTGTTACAACAATATCGGAGGATAAAAAAATATTAATATTGAAGTATTCAATAATGTAATATATGTATATGTATACGATATTTTATGTAAGTTTAGTTTTAGTTCACTGAGGGTGTGTGTTGGGTTTACCTGTTAACACCCCAAACTGTATATAAATAAAATATAAATAAATAAATAAATAAATAAAAGAAAAACAATCACATCTACCAAAACGGTTTATTAGATCCTCAAAAATAACATATTTCAATGCAAAATAAACCGATATATGTACTCTAAAACAGGGTTTTAGTTAATCTAGTGTAACTTCTATTTCCGTTACTTTGAGATTTTGCCAGAATGGCAAACGGTTTTCCGGGATCAGACTTTTAATTTTCCTTATAATATTGTTCTTCCTTTACATACACCCTCTCACAAATTTTTTGTATAGGTTGAGGTAAGTGTCCTGTTTCGTATTCAGATAATAGGAAATTTATACCACAAAAGTGTACAGCAAAGGATGTGTGTGTGTCAAAAAATGGCATCGGAATCCGGAGTCCATTTGCCACAAAATTTTGCTAATGGATTTATATTATCTGATCATTGTGAGAGACGGTAAGAAAGACAGAAAAGGGGAGACATAACTGAATACGAGCCCCTTCCCATTTCAGTTGGCCCACTTCAAGATTTGTACCAAAATATGGCTTTATAAACCAAAACATGACGAAACTATTTACTTCTAAAACAATTTATTTTCTTAAAAACATCTCAGATACACTCTAGTCGTAAAAAATACATACTTGAAATCACCTAGACCTATAACTAATAGAACATCTGAACAAATAAACAATGTGGGAATAAATGCGCGAAGTTAACAAAGCAACAATTGAAAGATTACCATTGGGTAACATCACCTTTATTTTCTATTACGGCTAAAATTCTTTGGGGCATAGTGTTAACCAAGTTTTGGCAAGAATTTGGTGTAAAACAATATTTCTTGAAGCTTTTGTCTCAGTTCGGTGATTGTACGAGCAGGATGTTGTCGTAGAACCTTTTTCATCTCGTGCCAATAGTTTCAATAGGTGACAGATCTGGACTGCTAGAAACCCATTTCAAAAGTACATTATTTTCTTCCATCCATTTTATAGCCTGTTTTGAGGTATGGCACGCTGCACCATCTTGCTGAAACCCAGAATCTTGGCCGGATGTCAGACATTCTTCGATCACTGGTAAAAGCGCTCCTTCTAAAATTGTCAAATATTTGTTTGTATCCACATTTCCATCAATAAAATGAATTTTTAGTACTCCTTTTGATGACATACTGCCCCAGACCATAATGGATGCTGGAAATTTCACTTTTCTCTTTAGACAGTCAACATGGAATGCTTAATTTTTTTTTGCCGATTTTTCTTTTGCAGTGGAGTTAATAGTGGCTTTTCTTTGGCCTATAAACAAGTTGTGCAGCATTAGGGTTTTTACTTCACTTTTTTTTATAAGAAAACTTACCTTGCAAGTGCTAAATCCCAGTTTGTGGACCTCGAAATTCTCCTTCCAACAGCGTCACTCCGCAGAACACTTAATTGTAAATATTTGGCACGCCTGTTTTTCACGATTATTCTTCTTAATGCTCTTCGGTCGGCATTTGTGATATTACTTTTTTTCACATATCGTGGCTTAATATTAACTGAACCAGTTACGTTATATCTTCTAACAATATTTCTCACACTGTACCGCGATAAGTCTAACAAAGTTGCAATTTCTGAGTTTGATTTCCCAGCATTAAAAAATTTAATTATCAGTTACCGAATTTTCTCACTAATAACCTTACCTCTACCCATTTTGAGAACCTTAACTACCCACAACTATTTTAAACGTATTCTGACAGCTGTGATTAAAAACAATTGTCATGGCTTTTATTTTTCACAGCCACATATGCGTTATAGACTTATTTTACATTGAAATGAAAATAGGTTGATATGCTGTAATTGCAACATGTGTTATTTTTAAGCTGCAAATTTGATTAGGGAGTGATAAAGTTGATGTTTTCTACTATATATTATCAAAATATTCATTGTTAATACTTTAAACCTATAACACCCCGCTACATTGTTATTATTTGTGTTTGATAAGAAAAAAATTAAGATTTCAATAGTTGGGCCAACTGAAGTAGGAAGGGGCTCGTAGTTTGGACGATAAACATTATTATCATTATTATTATTATTATTAATATTATTATTATTATTATTATTATTATTATTATTAATTCGGCGCGGATTGCCGTGGTTCTAGGTACATAGAACTTGGTTTACAATTGTTTTGGCGTTGTTTAAACAAAACTACAGGGTATGCGTTTAGTAAAAAAATAACTTTTATTTTTAGCGACAGCCCAATCTATGTATTATTTATCTCTTTTGTATTAATGAATGAATTGAATAGAGTTATGCCTTCACCCCAGCTTTAAACCGATTATTTTGGTTGTTCGTGTCATTCAATTACCAACGTGTGTTTGCCTACCCTCTCTTTCTATTTGCACCCCGAACAGCTAGTTAAGGAAGTCTTTATCTGGCCAATCAGAACGGCGCCTGGATTGGGCTTGGAATTAGATCGCTGAGATCCTGACATCGCCGCGGATCGCTGTGGAGTGCCTGGAAATTGAATTAGACGAGGTTTAAGTCCATCTACTTTTTTAATGAATATTGTCAGTCGAGTACGTGAAAGAGGCTAAAGAAAACCGGTAAGAAGAGTGGCACTCGGTAGCCTGGTATTGTTGGTCGTCTTTGTAGACGATTTTCCCAACCTCACGGACTACAAAGGGGGACCAGATTGTGGTACGGGCATTACGTCTCCACTAGAAACCATATACAGGATGACCCAAGAGTATGGACACACCCAAATATCTGGGAAACTAACTAAAATGTTTAGATACAAAAGTTTTAGGAAATCAAATGGTGCAGCTAGTGGTGATCTTGGATTTGAAGTTGAGCGGGTGATTTGTTCAATTTTTATCGCAGAAATATAAAGCCAAAATAAATTGCTTTTCAGCGGTATAAATATCATGGCGGCTAAAATAACAGCTAGAGGTTGTTTCAAGGTAAATTTTTCATCCCATGGAATAATAATAATATATTTATAGCCCAACAGATACATCCATTTACAATGTGATTGAATACAATTTGACGTTGCAGTATTTTTAACTACAATCATAGCTCGCCCAGTTTCTGAAAAAAAAGTGAAAGAAAGAAAAAAATGAATAGCTACACCTACTCACCTATATGTCTTAAATGTTATAAATTGAATAATAGTAGTCGTTGAATACAGCTAATATATCTTTGACTGTATCATGATGAATGTCACAACTATCAGCTATGGTGTTAAAGCTGGAGCACATAAAGTACACGGGTGACTTAATCATAACATTAGAATTTGGTGCTTTTAAGTAAAAAGCGAGAAATCTTCGGGAAATGCGGGATGGTACATGAAAATCAATTTTAGCTAATAAAGTTGAAGAATCAACATCACTGTGTA